TAATATCCTGTGTATCATTAGCACAGTTGTCTTTTCCAAACACTTTTTTCCGTTTTGCTATTTCCTTACTCAGCAAACTTGAGTGACTCTAACTTCTTCCTGAAATGAAAATCCCCTTAACTTACATTGAAGATTTTATATTTGCACCTGAGCCTAACTCCGCTTTATTACTTAATTTTCTCCAAAAACATTGCATAGTTCACTGGAGACCCACAGACTTTCTGAGACACTGCCCGATACCACCCCTCTGCCCATTATTCCTGCCTGTTCTCAAACTTAATTTCCAGATTAATCTTCCTAAAAATCAACTCCAATCCAGCCATTTCCTTCCTCCAAAACACATTTTACACTCGATTACCTAGTGATATAATTACAAACTCATCCCTTGGCAGCTCCATCCCACTAACGCAGTAGTTCTGACTCATTTTGTTCATTCAACACAGATCAGAGAGCGACACACTCCCATCAGTAATGTTTCAGACCGACTGCAGTAATCTTCAAGGAATAGAGAAGATGCACTCAGGCACACAGCAGACTCTTCAAGTAGAACAATTGTGACATGTTTCTAACCATCACTTTGGTAGTGCTTACTGTGGGCCAAGTAATTTTTGAACATTTTAAAAGCCTAGAATCATTGAATCTACCCAGCCATCTTATGAAGTAGGCACTATTATTGTTCCATTTTACAGATGAAAAGATGAGACACAGAGAAGGTGAGTGAGTTTCTTAAGGTCACATGGCTAATAAATGGCAAAACTAGAATTTAATCTCAAGTGGACTAGGTCTGAAGTCAATGCTCTTAATTTTCTTTCCTTCAAATCCTGCCGCTCCTAAAACGCTTCTTTTTTTTTTTTTTTTTTTGAGTTGGAGTCTCACTCTGTCGCCCAGACTGGAGTGCAGTGGCAGCTCCCAGTCACCGCAGCCTCTACCTGCTGGGCTCTGGCGATCCTTCTGCCTCAGCCTTCCAAGTAGCCGGAATTACATAAAACGCTTCTTTGCATTTGGTCACCTCTTCAATCTTGAGGAGGTGAATCCACCCTTTTTCTCTAATTTACCTTCTAAATAAATTTTTCTTAACCTAAAAAAAATCCTGCCACTCACTACCTGTCAACCCCTTCCCCAGCACTGAAGAATTACTGAACTCAATCATTTCTCAACAAGTTTCACATAAAATCTTATTTTATTTGGAAGATAGCCTGGGGTCAACAAACCTCCTTCTATAAGCTATTTTCTCAATCACTTTTCTCAAATACCACACATTTTACTCACCATGTGCTCTTTATTATCCTCAAACTGTGTGATATATATGTCACGTCTCCAACTAGACTGAAAAATTTCCGTAGCCAAAATAATAGCTAACATTGCAAATTGCTCTTCTGATTTCTCAATTTTGTTAGTGGTCTCTCTCATTAACTTCAAAGTAAACTCTGTATCCTCCTCTCTATTCCTCACCTAATACATCTCCACAGGCAATCCACTTCTAAGTTTTAGTTCTTCGTACATGTCATACTCTTTGCCATCTTTTCTCTTTATACTGTGGAGATGCCTCACCTGCTAACTGTTCCAGAGTAAGCAAGCAGTGGATCGTTGGTTGTTATATTGCTTGAAGATCTCACTGTCCTTTCCTCAGCTATCACAGAAGTCTTGTATCTGGTCTTCCAAATTTGATGTAACTAAACTTGAATCTTTAACCTCACATATCCATCCTATACTCCATTGCTAGTTTAGCCTATCTAAGGAAGAGACTGTTTCCTGCTCCCATCCACTGCCCCCACTTCCCCAAATTGTCTGCTAAAATGAGAAAACATTCCTCAATTGGTACAAAAAAGTCTACTCAGCACACCATTGATTTCAGCCTCTTTTCAACTTCTTTTCCAGTTACTCCACTACATATGTTGTATCTTCTCAGTAAGTCAGGTCTCAAACTATTCCCATAAAAAGTGCTATTTCCCCATCTTCATGCCCCTGTTTATATCATTCTTGTCACTGAAATTGCTGTATCTCTACTTTTGTATCTTGAAACTTCACATTGCCTTTTTGTCTTAAGTCTTTTCTCACTCTTTTGACTTTCAATACAGTAATGAGTTTGAATTTCTCTTATTTATCCTTCTCTTTGGCTACTTGCCTCATGTTCTTTATTGGATTTCAATATTTTTGAAGATAGGAATTCAGTAGCCCTTGTACATTGACCAGTGCCCACATATATAGTAGATATTAAATAAATGTATGGCAGATTGAAATAACTGCTAACCTCCACATGATTATACATAGAAAATATGATTCGTTGTTTAAACATACTAACCTATTATTTTGAAAATGATGCAAATCAGAGGCTAGAATGAGTTCAGGAAAAGCCTTTACAATCCTAGACACCCCCCAAAAAGGAATATTGAGATGAAGTAAACTTTGGCATCATATTTATAAATCCCTAAATTTTGATTCAATATTTACTTGTGTTTTCTTTACCAGTTTGTCTCAATGTTTAGCATTGATACCTGATGTCTCTGAAGCTTAGTTTCCTTTCCCGTAAAATCAAGATCATAATACCTATTCTACATGGTAGTTATGCGGAGTAAAGGAAATATAGTTTAAATGGAATAACATAGTCTTTCTAAAAAAATTCAGCTATTGCATACAATAGATACTGAAAATGTGTTAGTTTCTTCCTTCTGTCATGGGTGAACAGAGCCCACTTAACTGAAGGAGTCATAACTAATGTTGCCTGCCACGGTGGACTTGGTACCAGAGTTGAGACCCCAAAGCCTCCTCTGGGGAGCCATCTATTAAGGTGGGCAGCCACACATACATCATTAGCCTTAAGAAAATGAGGAGTCTGTGAACCTGACAGTCTTTCACATTCTGATAAAAAGAAAAGATTGGTGTCCACAGGATAAAGCTATTCTTTGCCTTACGATTTCTGCCAAAGGAAATCAGAACTAAAATCAAATTCAAAAAAATGATGTTCTGACTGTGATGTTTCTATGAACCCTCTAAAATCATCTCCCTGACTTTCCTCCCAGCCCACTATACTTCAATGACTCAAAGACAAAACTGTGCCAAGGAACTGAGCAGAGTTGAGATTGTTGGTGGGGAATGAAGTAGTCCCAGCTTTCAAGTTGGAAAAGCCACAGAGCCTGGCAGCAGGCAAGATCTGAAACAAACATCGCATCAATTTTATTCATCTATACACTATCTGAAGCATTGTCTCAGAAGTGGAACATTATAAGAGATTGGCAGAGACACAATAGTAAAAGCACTTGTGGTTTGCAGAAGATATTATAGATTCCAGTTTATTTGAATTCAGTCTTTTCTTTTTTCTCATTTCTTACTGCTTTCTGACTTTGGTTTGTTCTTTATCTCTTTGCTTTCTCTTTGTTCGGTAGCCTTCTCTGAACACTGATTTTGGTATCAAGGCATTTAAATATATATTGTTAGACATTCTTAACTAGATGTAATTAAACAAAGGAAGGAAGTCAGTCTGAATCAATGAGAAGCTGGAGAAATAAGCAATTTTTAAGGAAATGAAGGTTTATTACTCTTAGGGATATACTGAAACCATTGAAAGCAGTAATAAGCTATGTTGCTAAGCTATGTTGCTTAGGAAGCAGTCGGCTACCTTAACGCCTGCATAAGCAAATTTACTGTTTGATTTTTCTTTTTCTTTCTTTCTTTCTTTCCTTTTCTTTTCTTTTCTTTTTTTTTTTTTTTGCTGAGGACTTTTGCTCTTTAAATAGGTTAGCATTTCATTTTATTTTTTACAAATTGCTGAGCAAACTTTTTATTTAACATTGAGGATATTAAGATACATAAGTGCAAGTCTCATTTGTTTAAAACTTGGTACTAGTGAGGTCAAGACCACACAATAAATCTCTGTATCTGCCAATTATCTCTCTCTCTCTTGCGTGGCCACAAGTATGTGTACACCAAGCAATGGTCATAAGCAGCACTGGGGGAGAGGATGTGGATGAATCTGTTCAGTATGCCTCCACATATTGGAAATTGGCTCTCTTTTCATCTGCTATGCACCTGTGGTCAGTAGCTTCATCTTTCTTTGTAAGAATCAGATTTTAAAAATTACTTTTAATACCATCATTGTTGTTTTAATAGTTTATCTATTTGATATTTCAACTTTCTGCTATGAGGTAATATTACTTAAAACTAGATGAGAATTTTGTTTTCATTGACATTTTTGCATGCATGTTTATATTCTGTTTGTTAAGGCAAATAATGCTATGTGGGCTCACAGAATTACATCTGGATTCTTTGAAGGAGAAATAATGATCCTTTTTGTGAGATGAGTGATTTTTACAAACTTAATATTCCAACTAACAGAGTGCTTTTTTCTTTGATTAAAACATTTCACAATTAAATTAAAATGCAAATATAGACAACCTGTGTTTATGGTTATAATATAATTATTTTTAAAAGGTTTTAAATCAACCTGCTATTAATATTTCATGCATAAGATGTTGGTTTTATTGTTGGGCTGTTTCTGCCCTGTTCCATTTTGATGATTACTTAAAGTGCTAAGAAAACTTAATCATACTGCCTATGTTTTATCAGTTTTTACCCACTCTCCTCTGGTAAATTAGGTAGGCCGCTTTCCTACATACATTATAAGTTCCATCACTGATGTTAGGAAAATATAAACTATATATAAAACTCCAGAACCCCCTGAAATTGAGTTATAAACAACTTATTATTGGTTTAAAAAATATTTAATTGCTCATAAGTGGAACATCTCCTGAATTTAAGAGTGCCATATTTTATAAATTTTTATAAAATTAAGATCTGGAAACATCATGGAATCATTTAGTACAGCCTTTTAATTTATGATAAGAATATAACATATTTGTATTAGAAATTGAATCTAGTGCTGTGTGTATAATTATGATTCTCTCAATTTTTTCTGATGTCTTATCACTTCTAAAATGCTTTTATTGAAATAGTTTTTAAATAATATTTAATAATTTGACCTTTTTTGTTGTTGTTCTTTTTAGTGATCTTAGTGAAAACCAAATTCAGGCAATTCCAAGGAAGGCATTCCGCGGGGCAGTTGACATTAAAAATTTGTAAGTATACATTTTTTTAATTTTATAATGTTTCACATTATTAGCTATTTTAAAAGTCAAGTTTATATTAAATAAAGTATCACAATAAAATGGTGAAATTCTTGTATATACAGAGGGTGCCCCCCAAAATATATATACACTTTAAGAAAAGAAAAAAACTGTATTAAAATCGTGGTACTCAATAAGATAAATACAAGTCACATTCAACCTCTGCAATTACAAGAGGTACTCAAAGTGGTTACCATTAGCGTTCAGACACTTCTGATTATGGTGAACATCTCTTAAAATGTGCATTTTTGTGGCACCCACAGATAACTAGCTTGCATAGGTAAAGTTGTAGCAGTTAGTTTTAAGTTGTTTTCATAAGCTATCTGAAGAGTTTCTCATTAACAAGATATCTGGAAAATTAGTCATTATCAAATTCATTCTTCAAGCCTTGTCATTAATATTTTGAAACCTAAGAGATGATTTATTTAAAATGTATTTGTAATGTATTTTCTCTTTTTCTTTCAGTCTACTTCAATAATTTCCTTTTCAATTACTGTTGATATTTATTGGAAATGCAGAATATGAACTATTTTTTTCTGGAAAGAGTAGATAATAGTTTCTTGCTAGAGACACCTGTACTCTAAAGCTACAGCTTTTTCTAAAACTTTAATATTACCATTTTTATTAAATGCCAAAAGTGTGAGATTGAAAAAAAGTATTTCTTTCCCTTTGTATGATTATTTTTGTTACCTCCCTTTTCCCTCTATTTTCATGAAAAATTGTACTTATAGCCTCCTTTTTTAAAAAGTACATTTCTGTGTTTTTCCTCCATAAATCTTTAATCTGGTATCTCAAGTACAAGTTATTTTGTTGTTGTTTGTACGTTTGTGTGTTGTTTTTTTTTTTTTTAAGTAACTAAAGCTCTTAAGGTACATATGAGATTTAGGATCTCAATGACAATCCTAATATTGTCAGAATATACCTTTATAAATTTTAAAGTAATATTAATATATTTTAATATTACTTTTTTAAATGATGAGTTTTTATTGACTGTGAATACTAGGATATAAAATGTTTTTCCTAGTCTTTACATTAGTTTGGAATGTAAGGGAAGAAAAGCCCCTGTGTGCCGAGATTAACTGTCAGGAATTCAATATTTCTTAGCTAGTAATAAACAGGGCAGGCACTTTTAAAAGAATTAACTTATATTCAGAATTTTCCATGGTTGAATCTAATGCTGTTTTTCCACTAGCAAAAGTAAGACAGATGTTTTTCCTTGTCAAAGAAGACAACTGCTTATAAAGTCACAGATTTCGGCCTCTGTGTCTTACCCTCAAAATAAATGATTTTGTTTTAAACTTGTACTTTCACACTGTACAGGTAAAGACAGAAAACTACAGACTTCTAAGGTACAAATGTATTCGTGGCCCTAGGTTTTTATCAGTGCTCAAGTTAAAAAGATTTTACTTGTTTTCTTTCTATCTTTTCTAGTTAGATCTTGGACAAATATTCAGGTAGACTCAGTAGTGTAGGGTGTTTAAATCAGTCTGATCAGAACAACATAACAATCTCTACGTAGCACGTACTTACGTGACTGTAAAAGTACAGCAATGGCGACAGTTGACCACCCTGGAAATGGTATCTGAAATCTTATTACAATATTACCTCTAAGTCCTTTAAAACAGGTGGTTTTTATTCTTCTTGGTACAAATGTTCAGGGAATTCAAGTCAACAAGTGGCCCTTCTTCCATATTTAAGGATACATTTAGAAGCATATTTCTAAGAAGGGAAAAGGTATGGTGGGAATCTTCCTTATGTACTCCTCATTTATCATTAAAACATGTGATTTTAAAAGTTTAGAGATAAAAGAACAAATAAAATGCCAGCTAATGTTTTATGAGGAATGGAATGTTGATTTAGTAAAATTTTCAAACCTTTTCCCCCACCAAAGGAATGCTTTTCCCCCAGAATTTAAAGACTTTTACGTATTCAGTGAGATGAGTTTAGGATTGGAGTCTCAGAATGTTTTACTATTTTTTGGATGTGTAAATACGAACAAACCAATCAGCTTCACTGAGGCTTGTTTTCACTTTTATAAATAAACAATAGTTGCTTGGATTTGTTATGGTTATTCAGGAAAGAAGGTCTGTGAATGATATTTTAAAACAGTAAAATGCTATGGAAAAATAATGTAATATTTCATTTCACAAGTATTCGGCTAATCAACTGCTAAAAGTTAGCCCAGAAAAATGTATAGTAAGCAGACAAGAAAGTAGAACATGAAGTAATGAGCAATATTAAGGACTGATATGACTATTATATTATTGGTTAACTTGACATGGAGCTATGGAATGGAGAAAAATATATGAGAAATTATTAAATGAGTGCATACAAGATCCTTATTTATAAACAAGATACTGAGGGCTGTAGGTGCTGAGGAAAGAAAAGTATTGCTTGATGTTGTCAAAGAATACTGGGGGAAAGCGTTTATGAAGGGAAATGTAAACAAATCTGAGATTGGTTTGTATTGTATACAGGTGACTAGAAGTAGGCAAGGATGGATAGAGAAAGTTAGAATTTATTAACGAGACTATCCAAACCAGGGTCTTGATTGGATTGGAAGATTAGCGGTATAGTGCAATAGAGTGTGTGTGTGTATGTGTGTGTGTGTGTGTGTGTGTGTGTGTGTGTGTGTGTGTGTGTGTGTGTGGTGATGTTGGGAAATAAGGAATTGAATGTGACCACTTTTTTAAAAGATGTAACTGTATAAATTCTGAATAGCAGCAGTGGTAAGTGTAAGTGTTAAGAATCTGAATATGGGGAAGTTGAATAGTGTGACTTCACACAATTTCTGCTTTGGGGTTTATATTTCTATGAAAGAACAAGGACTCAAGAAACGCATGTGGATACTGAATGATGATGAGGATAACAATTTATTCCCACTATTCGCATTCCTTCCTATAGCAATGTGAAAAACAGTGACGGCAACAATTTATAGGTTTATATTTATTATATTGATTGATTTTATTATAGGTTTATTTAATTGGGATTACAGAAAAAATAAAACATAAAAAATAGTTCTAAAATTTTAAAAACTCAAATTTATAGTTAAAAAATAGTCCAAACTCCATTGCTAAAAAAAGTTCCTCCAACAATTTACCTGTGCGATGATCATTTGTATACCTAACCCTGAATTGTACTCCACGTCTTTGAAACAAAAATAAAAAAAGTTCCTGTCTCGTGGGGCTTTCTATAAAGTTTGGTTTTTTCATTAAAATGTAAGAAAGATATCTGGTAAAATATTAAAACTGATGGTAAATGTTAATTTATATTATTGTGAAACTGATAGCCATAAATCATCAAGTAATGAATTAATGAATAATTAGCATTATTAATATTATTACTATTTAGCATAAGAAGGAAGTGTAGTGATTCATCCTATTTATCATGCCAGTATGAGCATTTACACATTTTTTTTTTTTTTTTGAGTTGGAGTCTCACTCTGTCACCCAGACTGGAGTGCAGTGGCCGCTCCTAGCCACCGCAGCCTCAACCTGCTGGGCTCTGGCGATCCTTCCGCCTCAGCCTTCTCCTAGCCGGAATTACAGGCATGCATTACTACGCCCGGCTGATTTTTTGGTTTATTGTAGAGATGAGGTCTCGCTGCCCAGGAGGGTCTCGAACCCGTGGGCTCTGGCAATCCACTCACCTCAGCCTCCCAAAGGTGCAGGATTACAGGCTGAGCCGCCGAGCCCAGCTAGCATTTACAAATTGAGCAGCCCTGCATGGTGTCTCGATGGCTACTCTTCAGTTATTCAGAGAATAAAAGAGAAAAATGAAAACTGGACAAAAGAAATATGTGTTTTAGCTATATCTAGGCAATATTTTGTATAACTCAGTATTTAGTAAAGCTCAGTTTAATGCACTGTAACGGTTTATTGGATTTACCATATTCAGAACTTATTCAGAGTAAATTCCAGTGTTCACATGATTTTCACTGGAAGCACTTGCTTTAATCTTGTGGATTGGCAAATATGCTCAAGGCAGCATCCTGACAATACGAAATTGATGCTGTGGAAATTTTGCAAATTAGCAGATCTTATTCCCTTTCCTCCAGGCAAGCCACACTAAAGCTATTCGAAACAGATGGACATTTATCTTGCTCTTAAACATCTCTAGGGATGTTTAAGGACTCCCCATAACTTTTTTGCTTGTCTCTATTCATTTCTTAACTGAATTCAAACTCTTTATATTTTATTTTATTCGCTTATTTTCTCTAGTCACAATTTAAACTACTTTTTTTTCCCTGAAATTTTAGACAGTGAAATATGATAGGATAATAACAAGATTGAATTAAAATATCAACCAAATTATAGTCACTAAATTATAATAGTCAACCATCAGCACATTTCACATTTGTGTTTTTAAACTCTCAATCCAAATATGGAATAAGGTATTTATACTATATAATTATCAACTGATGCCTCACCAAAATATAATCAATGTTTCTAGAACTTTTCTTTAGAAACTTTGCATGTATTTTTATTGCCAAGATTCCTTAGCTTATTCTTTTTATTTGAAGCTTATTCTTAAAATATGTACTGTACTCAACAAGCACAGAAATGTACTAAAACTTTCTTGTTTTATGAGAAAACATTCCTATAGCTATCCCAGGATTAAATAATTAAATGTAAGCATATATAAATTTAAAAATTAAATAGATTGCCTGTTTTTAGTCACATCACAAATAACAAAGTTTATTTACTTTGTACCTTTGATTTCTTCAATGTTGCAGAATCTCTTTCAAGTGTATTATTTATTCCAGGCAAACTTTGTCATTCCCTCTTCATAAATAAATATATTCTTTTAATATTTGCCTGTAGTATCCCAATTCCATTCCTTACATCTGTTATGAGTCTTATCCTTATTTTTCAGGGAAGAAAAATGCCTCTTGGTAAATATTAGGTTGGGGGGAAATATTTGTATTTTTATTTTTTACATGAATTATACTA